GAAAACATTTCCTTCTAGTGTAGAGGACACCTTTTAATGCACTGTACTTGCAGAAAAGTGAGCTCAATATATAAGTTGTTGACTGTGAAGACGAGATTTGTCCTCTGTTTACCAGAGAGAAAATGCAATTATCCAGAACAAGTTCTTGAACAGGCTTATCTAAAAGGTCAACAATAACTTTTCACATTTTTTCTAAAAGCCTGGATGAAAAAAAAATTGTAGATACAAATTATTTTTACTATCTAGATGAACCAGATTACACATACAGTGTAATGTACTGTTTATTTTACAGACAAAATCTGTGTTTGAGATTGGACTTTGTAGTAACAAAATGTTCTGCTATGCCGTCCTCGGATCTATAATGGGGCAGTTACTGGTTATTTACTTTCCTCCACTTCAGAAGGTTTTCCAAACAGAGAGCCTGAGTGTCTTGGGTAAGAACAGTTCCCTTTTCAAAATTGTACATTAAGGATTAATTTGTAAATGCATTAGCTTATGGTTCTATAAGAGCACTTGCTAGCTGTTTGCATGCAACAGGAATAGAAAGCCTGCTGACTTTTTTTGGAAAAAAACCACCACCTTTTAGATGTTTTCTTTGGGAACCATGATTTAAATGCATCTTGTACACAACTGATCAGTGCATTTAAAAATTTCTTAAATGCTTATATATATATTGGGCTTTTAATATAAATTTTGATGCAGGCAAAACTGAAGCATAGAGTTTACTGAAGTTTTTAAAGCACTAAATCTTGCTATTTAGCAAGTTCTTCCTTAAATATTAAACGTTTATCTTACTTAGAAATCTTGATCCTTTATTAAATAATCAGCTGTATTATTGTAGGATAAGTAGACATGAGGATTTTAAGAAGCTATAGATACATAAAGCTGTTTGCCTCATCAAGACATTACTTCTGCAGTTTTCTGGAGGTAAAAATAAAAGACTGTAATGAAATACATGTTTTTATGTAATTCTTATTGTAGTGTCATTTTGAGTATGAAGGTAATTGTTTCTTAGTGTTCTCTATTTTCATAGGTGTTAATAAAAATAGGGTTATGAAATACTTTAAAAGTTTTGAAATAGCATGCCTGTATTTATGATTTGTGCATAAACTATGTATATTAACCTTCTGGTCCTGCAAAAATGGCTTAGTTTCTCCTGAACTTACCCAATGATTGGGAGACAGTTTGAAAGTCTTGTAAGTCTTGTTCTTTTGTAAGGCTGCCCTTGGTTCTTAAAAAGGAAATTTAAAAAGGGCTAATAATTATCTCTTCCCAGATTTACTGTTTCTTCTGGGACTCACTTCCTCTGTGTGCATAGTGACTGAGATCATAAAGAAGTTTGAAAGAAGTAAGGAAAAGATCCAGAAACGTGGAAGTTCTTCTTCGTCAACTTCGTCTTTTCTTGATGTATGATGCATATTGCATTCTTTTGTTTGCAAACTTAGGGACTGCTGTCTAAAGATTTAGGAGAAAGCAAAACAATATTTGGAGGATAAAGAAATCCTGAGGGCTTTTGACAAGTCCTTTGTTTCACTGGCTAATGATGAACATTCATGTTTCAAGACTGTTTAGAATTTGACTTCCAGCTGTGGGAGTAACAAATGACATTATGCAACTTTGGTAACGTTTTTCCTCAAACATAAATTTACTTCTGAGATTGAATGGGATTTTGTGTGTGTGGGGGTTAATTTAAAGAAAGATCTAAGCCCAAGTCCCATTTTCTGCACTTAGAAGATATAACTGTGTAAAATCCTTCTCTTAGATATAAATATTTTAGTTTGTTTTTATTTAAAACATTGTACTATTTTACTTTTATGGTGGTGGAACTTTGCTACTAATACAAGGATAAAAAAATATTTCAGAGGCATTCCACTGAATTGAGTTTAGAGTCTGTCACAAGAGTGCCATATTCTAGCTACTGTATTTATTTACTTTATCCTGCAATGTGTAAGCGGCTCAAGTACCTTGTGCTACAGGGTTTTTTTTTCGTATCCGGAATTTTTTTTTGCACAGGATGTGACCGCTGTCAGTTCACTGTTTTTTCTTTTCTTTTTCTGTGATTGAAAAGCCTATATTGCAATTTGAAGTAAATGTTTGCTTTTCTTAAAAGTGTGTTGTCTCTTTGTTTTAAAAGAAACTGGTATTTACACCAGATTAGCATGCTTGTTTTGATATAATTTTAAATACAATCTTTGTTTCATGTCATTCCATATTTACTTTAGCCTGTGACTGTTAGATCACTTGAGTGATTATAAGACAGTACTGTTCCTGAAATTGCTTGTAGTGTATTGGATTGGAAAAATGAGTGCACTAATCCTCCTCACTCTAATGGCAAAAATCTCCACCCCTCTTTCAAAGAAGCTTGGTTTTCCTTCCTCTTCCTCCTTCCACTGTGATCATAACATTTTTACTGGTAGTCTAACTTAAAATTTTAACCTACAGAATGACTTTTTGTGGCTAGAAAATCTTTATAATAGACTTGTGTCTTGATATGTTAAAAGTATTTTTAATATGTTTGAATACTCTAATGTTCACTGATTGGAAATGGTGTTCTTCCTCAAAATAGGCTTGCAGCTGTCGTTATCCGTGTCTTCTCAACAGAGTATGACTCATCATCCTTTGAGGAAATGCAAGGAACTTTCACCTAGGGAATCCTGAAAAGAAGATGCTTAAGATCTCTAGGGGGAGTTGGAGATGCAATGGTATCTCTTTTGGTTGAAAGCATGTGGGTACATGTTTTCACACCATCTGCTGAAAGTGTAGCATTGGTATTGGCTCTGGGCCATGCTGTCGCAATGGTTATCCTATCGGTGAATGAGGAATTGTAAATAGGCACTGGGATATTTCTGCACTTACCTTTGTGGATTGCCCCACATGCCATGCTCAAAATCTGAAGAGTTCATTGATAACGAGGCAGTTTAGAAAGTGCTGTATGAATTTTTCTGCTAAGAGGTTGCTTTAATTGTCCTCTTATTTTTTTTCTGTGGAGACTGCCAGACTTGATCAGGAAGTGGGGCTGCAGACAGGACATGAGTGCACCTGTGAATCTGCTTTACAGGTGCAATTTCTCCATTGCTCTGGCTGTCCCGGGCCTGCTCAATATGTCCATATTACCTGGAATACCACTGTGTTGGAGATCTAGTTGTGTAAAGTCTGAGACTGCAGCATATGGCCTTAGTCTTGTCCTGCAGGATGTGATGTGAACCACTATGCTGGTAGAGCCTGGACAAGGTGAGCTCTTACAGAAACACTCTCATGTCTTCAAGCAAAAGTTTCTTTTTTCCAGCAGCTCTGTCTTTCAGAAGTTGAACAGATTTGTCAGTGTTCCTCCTGTTGAACTATTACAACTTTGGCTAGTGGGCCTGTAGCTGTTCACAGTTGTAGTGTGTTCAGTATTTCAATACAATTTCAGAACACTTTTCAATAAAAATACTTTGTATTATTCAGTAAAGACAGTAAAAACTGACAGTGCAGACTGAAGAATCTCTTGAATGAACGAGGGTTTTGAGAAGGTACAGCAACCGTATTGTTCACACAGTAAGTCTTGTTGATTTCTCCTTGGGATTTGACTGCTTTGTGCTCTGCACTTAGGCTTGGAGTCCCAGAAATCCCAGTAAGTACAGAAGTGAATGGCTTGTTAGGCACTGGAATGGGCTTCCCAGGGAAGTGGTGGAATCCCCATCCCTGGAGGTGTTTAAGAGTTGGGTTGACATAGTGCTTGGGGATACAGTGTAGTTGGGAACTGTCAGTGTTAGGTTAATGGTTGGACTAGGTGATCTTCAAGGTCTTTTCCAACCTAGATAATTCTGTAAGTGCAGATGAACGCCAATTTGTCATCTTAGCTTCAAAGTGTTATTGCATAGTCTTTAAAAAAATGTTATGAACTACTCAGCACAAGTCTCACTTCATGAAAAAGGTATGTCAGTCTAGACAAGAAATTATTTCAGTCTCTTATGAACAGTTAATTCTGCCTTCTTGCAGGGTGAACTTAATTGAATGCACTTCACTTTAAATATGTAAAACTTAAGTTCTGCTGTGTTTTCCAGTGGAAGATGAAGCAAGTAATTCATCTAGCTCAAACATTATTTATAAAAAAATACATGGACTGAATTGCACTGACATTTTTTTGGCTGCACTCTTGATCATTACCACTTAACAGCAAGCTTGAGAGATTTTTCTCTAGAATAATTGATTCAGTAGTGGGATTTGTCCAGAAAAAAATGAGGCATTTTATATGGTGTGAAAATAGTCATCAACCAAGGAATTTAGTTGCTATTGCTAAAGCATGGAATAGAGAACTTCTTGGTTTTATAAGAGCTCTTTTTTCTTTTTTTTTTTTTCCCCCCCTCAAAGATTGAACACCAATAATGAGTCAAAAAGGAAAATTGGAACATTTGACTTAAATTCTGAATAGTAACCCTAGAATCAGTAATTATTTCCTTCCACATCCAGGATTGGTGTTTGCAGTGAGGTGTATTTCTTTATCAGCAACGAAGAACAGCTGAATTTTGCATTGAGAACATACTTCTAGTAGAGTAACTGTTAATCATCAGCAGCACTCCCAAGGGAAGTCTCAAAATGCCATGTGATCATAGCAGCCTTTTTATCTCAAAGTGGAATACTTGAGTTTATCCCTGTCTTCCAGACCATATAATTGAAGATACTGCTTCTCAGCAAGTCTCAAGAATTTGTGTTCTCCAGAACTTTTCCAATGTGGGACTCAGAGTAGATTAAGATCTCTCTTCTCCCAGCACTAACCAAGTGGCATGAAAGATGCCTGTGTTTTTATATTTAAGACTTAGTTTAAATGTGACTGTTTCCCATGATTAAGAACTGTAAAGAGCTACAAGCTTGGTAAAAAGAAACGTGGGATCATAATGGATCAGAGGATGATTTGGGTGATTAAGGATTTGAGATTTAATTACTAAAATCAAGAACTTTAAATTTAACACCTTTCAACTTTATTTAAAGTCTTCTGATGGAAATGAGCCTTTGCAGACTGCTGCAAATAGAAGTCTATTTAGAAATGGGTTGTAAAGTTCTAGTAATTTGCTGTATGGATGAGCGTAGGTGCCATCTGCTGGTAGTCTAGTATGTAGCAGTTTTCGTGCTGGAAGAAATGTTCAATTACGATCTCAGACTGCATCTCAAAAACAGTTTCCTCATGAATGTAATAGGTGTTATCAATCTATTCTCACTGACTATATTATGGCAGTGTCAAGACCCAGCTGTATGACACCAGAGATCCTTCCTGTAAGTCACAAGATCTAGTGTGTTACTTCCACGTGGATAGCTGTCAGATAGCTGATGTAACCAGGGCTGCAAACTGAGCACGAGGCACCAATCTGGTTTGAATCCCGGTAAGTAAAGGGCAAAACTGTAATGATTAAAGGTGGGAATCATGATTTTCCTGAATGTAAAAAAAGGTGTATATATATTCTTGAAGTTTGAAAAACCAGACATTCGGTAATTACATTTCACATGGGGAAGATACTGGAAAACCAACAGTTTTACAAGAAAAGCATTTATCTAAACTGACTCATTTTGCTGGAAAGTTAGCTAATACAAAGCACTGATAGTGATGAAAAGTTTTTCAGTAAAGGTTTGTCAAGTAACTTAGCATACATTGGGGCAGGTTAAACAGGTCTGTAACTTTAGTATAGCCATTAGAGAAAACTTAACTTGACTGACCACAGTTTGATAATGGCAGAAGATTGTAGTTACTCTGAATTAGCAAACCTTTGAAAACTTACTACCATGTGATTGCTTTGTGTGTGCATGTAAGCATTTAACTCTTTACTTAAACATAGTAAAGGGGGTGGTGAGGAAGGGGATAAAAGCTGAAGTTTCTCCAAGTATAGTTCAGTACCTATAATACTGCAGGCACAGTTTACTCAGCTCTCCCTGAAAGTACAAATACTGGTAAAGACTGATTCTACAATGTTTTTAAACTTGTCAATTTCCATTTTAATCTGATCTGCAAGACTGTAATCGCTGTATTCCTCAAACAAATTTAAAAATAGTATTTTCTTTGAAATTAAAAGTATTCGAGGAGATGAGGGATAGCCAACTATAAATGTTTAAGAGTAGTCCAGCTCTGAAATGTTGAACAAACTTGTTCTCATTTTCAATTAGACTGATATCTTTTAAAGAAAAACAAATCACTACAGCTTTTATACAGCACTTTTATAAGTGTTACAAAAAAATAAAAAAATGCCCCAAAGCAAGAATAATTGGTAAAGATTGAATCAGAAACTCGTGTGAAAATAGCTGAGCAAATCTGACTACAGTCCCATATTTTAATAGTTTCTTCCATCTGCATAGCATTAAAAATTATTCCAGGAATAATGCTTTTAGTCATCCACTCCAAGTGATGCAAATCTATTAACATTGCATAAATGCCGAGTTTCTGGTACAGCACGCCTGATGGCTCTTTTTTTCTTATTAGATACTTTCTTCTTTTTGCAGGACTCGGATTTGGTCTTGGTCATCTTCTGAAAGAAGTCTGGAGATACAGTTGACTCCACTGTATTTAACAAAGCCTGATAAAGCTGAGTAATTTTTGGAGATAAACTAAACAGATTTTCCACTGAAGGTGTTGATTTAAGCTCTTGATAGAGTCTGTGCACAAGGGTTCCATTGTAAAGCCTGCTCAAAGGAAAGAGAATCCTCATTTAGAATCACACCTCAGCAGGACAGGTACAAAACCATGTTGCTTAATGAAAAAACATATCTTAACTATACAGTATGCAACAGAGGACTTCTAAAGGATACCTATTCTATTCATTATTTTTGTCCATATTAATATCTTTAAAGAACGTATTCAAATGCAGTAAAATAGGCCAAAAGTTTGACATGCAAAATAGAACGTGAACACATTCCTTTAGGGACTTATGTAGAAAGCAGATCTTTGAAATGTCCTTACCTACTTAAGTCTGGCTCAGAGAGAGGAGTGCAGAGTAGCTGGTTGAGATACAATCCCATCTGAAGACAGCACTGCCACTGGCAAAAGCTATGTGCAGCATCTAAATCAAAGTCTTTATTTTGTAATTTCTTTTCCTTCCATTTTAGAAATTCATTATATGCAATACTGTCATCTTCAGCACATAAAACTGTGGTATCTAGGTTATAAATAAATAAAAATGACATGCAAATGAATGCTCTGCTGTGAAAAGTACAAAAGGTATCTGCAATGTACAGGGTGTTGAAACTTCCAGTTCTATTTCAGGAAGCATTAGTGATGTTTCAAATGTCTCAAACCAAACTTTAAGATGTAAAATTGAGTCAAAATTCAAGTATGAGTATCCATGAGAATATGAAATTGTGAAATCAGGAATTCTGCTTAAGTAATTTGCTATGCTGTTCTGTGAGTGGATCAATTCCAAACAAGAGTTCCATCTTACTCCTACCTACCTGGGATGCAGGCAGTAACCATGTCAGTCCAGTCTATACAGTAGAACCTAAAGAAACTGTCTAACCCTGGCATGTGTCATCCTTGCCATCAAATGAAGGAGTCCTAGAGGAAATGCCACCATAACTCTTAACAGGTATAAATATGACTGGGAGAATTTCTGTAATAATTGAGTACTTTAAAATTCTCACAATGCATAGGCAGATAAAGGGCACCTGTGCAACTCAGCATTTTTAAGTACAGATTATTTTAGAAAAACTCAAATAAAAATCTTTGATCTGAATGCATTGATCAGTTATTCTCTTCTGATGTGTGAGTGTTGAACTTATTTTTTTGTAGCTTTTATATCTGAATTAATCCTATAGTCCTAAAGAAAGCATTTAGAAATACAAACTAATGTTTTACAAGATGGCAAAGTACTGTTTTACCTATATAAAATGTTAAATTGATGGCAGGCCCTGTTTTTCTGCTCTGTATCAATGCAAAGAACATGACACCTCAGGATATAGTGTAAATCAATGCTTATTCATCTGAATTTGGACAACTCGGCGTAGATGAGGAAAAGTGAATTAGGAAAATTGAATTGGTATAGGTTTTTTCATAGCTGAACACCTAAAATTGTATTCTTTGGAGACATACCTGGATCCTTTGTTGTTCTGTGCAGTTCTCCAGATACTACCATTAAAAGTAAAGCCTTTAATTGATGCAATGTAACTTTTGGTTCTGAACAACGTATCCAGTAACATGTCACAGCAACAGGCAATTGTAAGTGACTGGGGATAGATTCTAAGATACTCATTTTCACTCCTAGAGTCTCCAGCAAAAGCATCTGACGGCAGGTCATGGGCATCTGAAAATTGAAAAATTGGAGTGGAAAAATAAAGGTAAGAGACTTTATTTGTCGTGAGCCACTTCCAAAAGGCAAATAAGCTTGTGTTTAAACTAGCTAATACTTTGTATTTTCGATAAATTTAAACTTTCACAGATACTCTGAAGAGGAAATATTTTAGAACTACTTAAGCTTTACAAACTACATAGTTAAATGTTGGGTAGAAAGATAAAGTCATTTTTTTACAATTTCCTGATGTTAGATTTTAAGAGGTTTCAGAGTTGTCTTTGAATCAGATGACTTGACTTAAAACGCCTACGTAAAGTTGACTTGGGTGGAAAATCCTGTAACCACTAATGCATTAAAATGACTTTGGTATAACAGCAATTAAATATATATAACCACTTCGTTTTGTGCCTCTTGGAAGTTCCCCTTCTTTCTGAGGTGTAATAGTGATGTCTGTTCTTGGTTTGTTGAAAACTCAATCGTAAAGGCGAAGTGTAAAGCTTGTATTTTTCACCTGCAATGTATTAATTCCTAGCACATGTTCCCTTCTTTGTTGTGCTCCTTCTAAAAAGTGGTCTTATAAACTTTGTCCATAGCTTCCTGCATGAAGAATCGCAGCAAGGCTGTTCAGCTGCAATTCAAGTGCTTTGTCAACCTTGATTAGGATGGTTTTGCATATTCTTAAGCAGATATCCCCACAGAAGACAAACTAAATCGGTTTTGCCTAAAGAGCACTTTAAATGCAGAATAACCTCTGTTGACCTGATAATTCCCCTATATTTAGTAAGGAGAGTTGTTACAATAGTGGAAGCTCAAATTCATTAAACAAACAGCATACATAACCAAGACCAAAGTAAGGTGTTGCTAATGTTTCTTAGAATCCCAAAACATGATCTTTCAAACAAAAATATTTGCATATTGCACATTTAAAAGGCCTGTAACAATATCCTGTGTAAAATAACCTGTAAGTAGGCCTTTGGATCCATAGGATCTGTAGCATTTAACGATCATAGTAGTGATAGACTTTATTCTTATATGAAATAGCCACCAGCAAGTGATAAAACCATACAGCACAGCCCACACAATGAGGCGTTAATGGTTGATCTGAATGCTGGAATAGATAGAGCATGTGGCTGAAATAAGTAGTATTAAAAGACACAGATTGTATTTCCAGATGTTTCAGAAATTACTGCATACAAACCCTCAGTTATGCACCTTTAGGAATGGGAGATTATTTTCCATTCACAGCAAGAGTTAGTCTTAATCGTTAGAATTTAAATATACAGAATTGCTAATGGTGACTGAAACTAACCTAGTACAACTTTCCTTTGATTACAAGCTGGTTTTCAGGTGCTGTTGTGTCTGGCAAGCAGCAGGGGTCCATACTTGCGGCAGGTAAAATTGCTGGGCAGCTGCAAGATTCATACATGAAATAATGGTGATTTTTGGTAAAAAAACATGGGTCAGATTTTGTTTCAGAACATCGCTCTGAACCATCCATAGCTTGATCAAATATAAATTTTGTGGGTTAAACTGCCCTTTTCTAACTTCCATGAAATTAATTTCCTTAATTTTCCTGTGTTAGTGTAACAATCTATAGGATGAAAGAAGGGATTAGAATGGAAGATTCAGGAAATTCTGCATATACACACAACCACCCTTTCGTGTAATTTGTCTTGGTACACCTGGGGGCAAAGCAGGAAGGGATGAAGGTCAAAGCAATCTGTGTAGTTTCTTGACTCTCGCTGGCCAAGCTGAGAGCCCTGTAGGTACCTGTGTATTACGTAGTTACCTAGTAAGGTGGCTTAGTTCAGGCATCACATTTAGCGAGCAGTTTGCAAACATGAGTCCCAACTAGCTTTTGTCAGTGGTGAAACACTGTTAACCGTGATCTGTTGTGACAAACATTTACCTCCATTAACTTGTCCAAAGAAACATGACCATCACAAAAATCTGCGGGTGGGCTTGCTGCTTGAACAAATGTTTTTTTAAGCGCCTTCTGGAGTCTGCCAAATTCACATACAACTGGCAGCTCGCTGGTCTGCTTACTTGGAGAAGCAGCTTCGGTGTTTTGAGGTACTTTCAGAAGCAGCCCATAGATAACTCGGCGAATGGGCAAAGCTGTGCTGTGGGCGCTAGGTCTCTGCATGTTCTCCACCTGAACGTGGAGGAAGGTGCTTCGCAGAATCAGGGCATCGCTGATGAACGGGGCCAGCTTCCCTTTCGCCAAAGCATCGAGCACCCACTGCGGTAAGTCAGCTTTCCTGGCAGCCTCACATTCGTACCTCCCCTTGTGAAAAAAGTCCTCCAGCTTCACCTCCGAGGGAGTGTAATCCTCCATCGAAGCACACAGAAGCTCCCTGACTTCTTCCCTCTGGTGTTTCTTCAGGTATGTCAGCACGCTGGCGACGGCCTCCTTGGGCTGCTCGAACCGCGCCAGCCAGCTCAGCAGCCCCTGAAGGCGGGCGTGCTTCCCGCCCCTCCCCGCCAAGCGCGCCCCGCTGAAGAACGCCTCCAGCGCCGCCAGGCCCGTGTAGTCGTTCCCGTTCATGGCGGCGAAGAGGGGGAGCAGGCTCTTCCTCAGCGGGCGGAACTGCCCGCAGAATCTCTCCGCCGAGAAGCAGCGGGCAGGCACGTAGCAGCCCTGCGGCTCCTCTCCCGCGCACACGCTCTGCCACTGGAAGTGGCTGAGGGGGCAGTAGCCGGCCACCAGGTCGAAGACGCAGAAGTCGCTGTCGAGGGAGAGGACGGGGCAGCCCCAGCGGTTGGCCAGGCCCGCGATCTCCCGGTCGGCCTCGGCGAAGCACTGCACGAAGGCCTCGCGGGTCAGCAGCGGCACCAGGCCTG